ACACAAATATTTTCAGTTTGCAGTTATGTACAATTAACAAGTGACCCCAAGCAGAAGCACCAAAGGTCTCCAGCATCGAAACGAAAGCTATGTGCTGCTGACTGTCCTTTTATCCTTGCTATCCTTGCTTTTTTGGGCATTCAACATAAATATATATTTAGCTACTTTTAAAGATGGATGTGATTCATCTAGAGCCCTTCAAAGTTTAAGCTATTATTGATCTCTACAGCTAATTTATGCAAACAGCATCTGCATGCAGAACAATACCCCAAATTCATCTCCAGCCCTATCCATTGTAAGGGATAATGATTACTTTTATCTCATCCCATAATTTTATACTTGGCTCATAAATAATGTATTATACAGAATGCAATCAATCCTTTTGCTCAATAGGGTAGGACTGAGTCGCTCACACTTGTAACAGACCCCAAAGCCTTACTCGTGAGCGTAACAGCCCACTAGGCCTCCACGACAGCAAGTAATTCAAGAAATGCTCTGCCTTCAGCGTGGTACACATCTCAACAACTCGAGGAGCCGTCTTAATCAAGCAACAGCTCGGAGATCTTCATGACACTGAGAGTTTTCTGGCATTATACTGTGCCTAGCACACATGCTTAATGCACATTTAGGTTAACCTTACAGGAGTAGCTCGAGCTGACTTTGGAATGCTAAAGAGAAATCAGGTAGCTGTCACATGCCATTTGCAGAAAATCAGCACTTGTATGTCACAGCGTGTTCTCATCAAACCTGTCAGGGAATCTTCATCCCAAGTAGCTTCAATTCCCAGCCAGGCTGGCACTAAAGCCATTGTGCTGACTTCAAAAGGCAGTTCATCCTCATCCCATGTAGGAAGCAGAAGGGGCTACACTCCAGCTACTCCCAAGAACTTCACCTTAGCCTACAGAGCCTACAGAACAACCCAAGGAGTTATTAAAGGGAATTCCAAACGACGGCTGCTGTGCAGCCTTAGCTACAAGCTTCGCCTTTACCTTGCAGGGCAGAATAAATGAACGACAGCCGAGCCCTGGCTGAGGCAGCTCCTAGCACCCAGGCTGACAGCTCGGAACCGAGCTGGGTGCCGCAGCACCGTGCCGATGCCCGTCGCACACGTTAACACCCGCAGAGTCAGCCGGCCTCGGGGGCCCTCGCTCTGCAGGTCTCTGCTTCTGTCACAGACACCCATCATGTCACACCAGTGGTGCTCGGTGTCCACCACGGACCCACGACCACCGCACGAGGGGCTGAGATGGGCTCTCCCACGCTATTCCACTTGGGAGAAGGAAAAGACTTTCCAGAGAGGGTTCGACGGCACGAGTTCAGTATTCCCAAACAGGATCCCAGGTATCCGCCGCTTTTCAGCAGTCATTTGCAAGCTCACCTCAGAGGCCTCTATGGCCAGGTCCATCTCCTCATCGCAGACGTTTGACCAGAACTCTATTCCCTGCAGAGCCACCTCGTCTATGTCACTTTTCATTGCTTCAATAGTTATCTTTAGGAACATGAAAGAAAGGAGGGGAGAGAAGGACGTTTTAGCCAGTTATTTCTCCCGAAATACATGCCCCACCTTTTGGCCAGCTGGTAAGAGATCTGAGATTGTCTGAAACCAGATGCCACATTAGAGCTACTGTTCTTGAAGACAATTTCCTCATTTAAAAGTTTATCAGCTCTCAGCACCTAGGGAGCACGACAGAGCAAGGTAAGCAATCTGCGTCGTCCCGACTTTCGGAGTCTGAAAGATTTGATGTCGGTTTTATGGAGTTTTCTAAGAGAGGGATTCACAGCATGCAGGCACAGCTAAAGAAAAGCCAAACAAATTGGGAATGCAGGAGAACTTTTCCTCCTGGATTAGGACAACGGAGTACTGGAAGATCAGGCAGCTGTATATGAGAAACCCGAGTACTCACAGCAAAAAGCGCAGGACCCATGTATGTCTCCATATACTGATAATAAAGGGACATTATCTTCACCAAATTCTGTAAGGCAGCCACTCGTACCTGCCAAGAGTAGAAAGTGGATCAAAGATGTGACCTTTGTGAGTGCTCTGAACACCAGGCACGGCTGTAGCCTACCACAGATTAATAACCCAGCCTTTCAGCTGATTCAGTTTACTCTGAACCTAATACGGACTTTCCCCAACAAGTGACATAAATCCTCCTAGGAGTCTACTACTTCTAACTTTAAGTATAAAATTCATTTTGTCTCCGTACTCACACGTGCACCAATCATTTAACAGAAGAACACCGTTTATTTCCCTCAACACTTCTCAACTGTTTGTTGATGCCAGAGCTTCTGGTCAGCTTCCCCGGCAAGGTGCAGTGACAAATCAAGCATTTCATTTCACTCACCCTTGTATCTGGACACTGCGTTGCTTCACAGACTACTTGCATAATAAAGTGCCTTTCAGACTAGAAGGAGAAATAAAAGAACATTAGAATTGCCTTATAAAAGCATTAAAGACTTTGCAAGCCTTCCCGTGAAGGCTGTATTTTGAGTCTGGACTGGTACAATCACTTATGCAGCACTTTTAAAGATCAAGGAGCAGTACAGGTTCCTATTCACCGCAGTATTTTACATCATTTCTTCCCCCAAAACGGGAATCCCAAGCTTCCATTTTAGAAAGTGCTTAACAGGCTGTCCAAAATAGAAAGATACAGCAGAACTAAAGACACTAGCATTTCAGGGGGAGAAGAGAAAAATCGTGCAGTTTCCTGAACTAGTTCAGCAATTGCTTCCAGAAACCTCAAAACTCAGCCAGGACATCAGTTTCTCGAGGGGCAGGACCTGGACACTTGCATTTTAGGAGGAAGGAACAGACAAATGCCCAGGCGATTTCCAGCACTGAAGCCCAGCAGAAACGCGGTCTGAACGGATCATGCACCTCCCATCTCGAATTCTGACCAACTCTCGTTGATCCCCAGCCACACCCACCGAACAGCCGACTAGGGCAGGTTTTCATTAAAAGACCTTCTAAGCTGAAGGTCCAATATTTATTCCACCTTCCCCTTACTCTCCCTGGTAGACACCCAGAGGATAGAACTTCATCCAAGATGGAAAAGAAAACTCAATAGACTTGTCTGTTCTGAACAGACTCTCGTTCCGAGGCCCCTGTTCTGAAGACTCTCACAGGCCTTCCTCCCCCAACAATTTTCAGAGGCAAAGTTAAATCTGGATTGCTGCCACACCACTCGAAAGAAAGTGCTGATCCAAGCTGGTACTCTTACAGCAGCATTACAGAGTAGAGTTTGATTAGGAAGCAGAACATCTAATAGGCTAAACTCTGAGGTCCGTTCAAATTTATCCAAAAAAAGTCCACGATGCTTCCTTCCCATTGCTGAAGCTCTCAAGATTTCCACAGTCTTTCTGCATTACAACAAGAATATACCGGATTTACAGAAATGAATCCAAGTCTCAGTTCCAAAATAATTATGCATCAAAACTCAGCGTGGTGCATGATTTCTCATCACAGACCGTGGATTCAGCCCTTGGATTTTAGGCCAAGGCTTGTTACCCCCTCACCTCTTTGTCAAAGTTTGCTTTGGTGAATTCCAAAGAGTTCAGGAGTGCATTAGTAGCTGCTAGCTTCACATTGTTGCTGGGCTCTTCCTTTCTCATTCCCTGGATGATGGCTGTCAGGATCTCGTTGGATTTGTCCTGAAGCTGCTCTGGTTCCTAAAAGAAGCGTTGATAAGGTTATTTGCCAGCTGAACAGCTTTCTCCATGTTTTAAAGTACCCTCTAAGTTTGAAATCCACAAGTAGCAGCTGTAAGATCTTAAGGCCAAGCAGCCCTTTGCTCACTGGGAGGACCAGAACGCAAGTACAAGGAATTCATGCACCATTCACGGCTTCTGGGACAGGAAAGAGAAGACTGAACTGAGCATCAACACTCCAGGTATTCAGGTCATAAATGCCAAATAACCTCGACTGTTTCAAATAAGTCAACAAGCTTCAGACTAGTTGACTTCATTCAATTAGCAAGTTAAAAAACATCGACTGTTTTCCAGTTCCTCCATATGCTGGGCAGCGGTCTACACCAGCAGTTGATTCTTTTGTTGGTAAAGTCATGAATCTTTTTTGGACATTGGGCAAAAATATATTGCCTAGACCAGCAGCAAGGACAGGCAGCTCAAGCACTCAAGGCTTGAAGAATCCAGCTGTGAACGTAGACTAAAGATGAACGTTTCTTCGTGGTAAATGTAAAGACCACAAGATCCCCAAAGAACTGTATTACCAGTTACATCAGAATTCATCCAGCAGCAGATCCCCAAACTACGGTCACAAACGGTGTCACAACGTGACCGACAAACTGCAGACTCTAACAGGGATCTTGGTTACAAAATGCCCAACCCGCAAGCCAGGGCATCCAAAACTCCAGAGGCGAGCGACACGCACCTCCCAACGACCACGCGCCCGAGCCTCGCACGGCCTCGCCACAAACAGCGTGCGACCTGGAGCAGCTCCCCTGCACAGCTGTAGGTTTCCTCTCTTATTTCGTTCACCCTCCGCGAAGCAGCCGACCTCCCCAACGAAACCAATCCCCCCGCAGCCTGATGAAAGCACCAAACTGAACATCTCTCTTTCCACCTCACTGTACCCAGGTTCAGCCCGTGACACACCGCACGTGTGTTCTCCACGGCATCCAGCGGCACCAGAAGAGCAGCAGCTCGTTTCGTCTGTCAGTGCCAGGTCAGACAGCACACAGGGATTTTGCAAGCAGTTCCCATCAGATACTTGGAATCACAGGATCATTAAGGTTGGAAAAGACCTCTAAAGTCACCAAGTCCAACTGTCACCCCATCACCACCATGCCTGCTAAACCATGTCCTGAAGTGCCACATCGACACGGTTTTTGAACCCCTCCAGGGATGGGGACTCCACCACCTCCCTGGGCAGCACATTGCAATGCTGCAAACTACGCTAATAAAACCACAAGACCTTTCATAGAAGGTGCCTCAAAGAGCTAAATATTCTTGCCTGTGCATCAAAAAAATTGCTAAATCAAGCATAAAAGGAATCCTCACAGAAGATTAAGGTACTTGTCAGGTCTCCCCAGCACAGAAAGGAATCAAACACTTAACGCTTTGCACAAGCGGACGTTCAGCTGAAGTTTTACACCAGCACCCCTCGCCAGCGTACGACCGCAGCGACATCCAGACTTCAACCTGCACCTTACAGAAGGCGACCTGGATCTGTGCTGCGAAAGCAGGTCAGCCCGTGCAGGCACCATCCCTGCGTGTTCACTGCCCCTCGCTCTGCTCGCACCCAGCCGACCTCCGGACAAGCACGAAAAGGCAGCCCCAAGGCAGGATCGCAGCGTACGAGACACAGAGGTGTGAGCAAGCAAAGGCTGGAAGAGGAAAGGTGCTGGGGAGAGGCTGGGCCAGCACTTCAAACACACTCATGATAATACTCAAAACACACTCACGATGTCCTGACAGATGTATCCGATGGCCTCCAACGTCGACTCTTTCATGTGCTCCGTACTGTGCTGATTCGTAACGTTCGCTACCAGCTGGGGAATGAGCTCAGGCCACTGGTTCATGGGGATCTCAGCGCAGGCGATGCCGGCCACGCACTGGGAGGCCGAGCTGGGCCTGTACGTTTCGGTACCCAGCGTCTGCAAAACCTGCGGGACAGACAGGCAGGCGATGATGCTTCGATGCCAGCGGCCGGAGACGGGCGTTGCCTGGGCACCGCAGCCTTCACTTGGTGTTAATCCCAGGCACGCCCCCTCCCCAGCAAAGCTGTTTGCTCGTTCTGCTTTTTCCCCGCTGTGACTGTGGACAAATGATGTCTGAAACGAGCTCGGCCACGGCTGCCCCTTTCAGGAAGCGAGATACAGCTGTGCCACTGCCCGCACTTCTGCCACAGCCCTTAAATCCCAGGCACAATGCCGTGCGCCGCAACGCGCAGCACTGACTCACTGAACAATTCCTCCCCGCTCGTGTTCTGAAGCAAAATTGCAAAAGCCAAACAAACTGCGGCTTAAAAATCCCACCCAAATATCGGGCTGTTTATGCCCAGATAATCTGAATAGGACTGAATGATTTTCTTTCGTTTTAATTGAAATCAATCAGAAGAACGAATTTTTTTCTTGTATACTTCAACAACATTTCTTTAAAAAAGAAACTTGAGGGAGGAGCATGCATTTGTTTCAGCACTTCCAGTTATACGCCTTCATTTCCCCTATACTCCGTTAACAAATACTGTACTTCTGATGTTACGTGACAGAAAAGTGGCTATTGCTGCTAACAAACTCCTCGTTAGCTCCAGTACAACCATCTGACAGCTCCCGTTAGCAGCGTAAGTTCTCCTTTAGCTACCATCAATGTAAATACAAGACTGAAGTTGTATCATCACTTCCCCAACCTTATTCTGCTATATGTGGATCCTGTTAACACAAAAGCATTATATAAAGCACACTGGCAAATTGTGTCACTTCCTCAACCCCGCACACATCCAAGCACACCTTTGTTCCCACCAGCCAAAACCCACCAAGCCACCAGTTCTGCCACCGCAAGTCCTGAGCTTTAACCATCAAAGAGCACAGCAGTCCTCAGGCAAATTCCCCATCTCTGTGAAAACTTAGGAAAATTGTTTCCTATTTGGAACTTGGCAAATTTTGGACCATATTCTACTTCTAAAATTTGCGAGGCCTCGTGTATACATGTGTGCTCCGACACAGAGGAACAAGACCAAGGTCTTGCTCATCACTGCACATCTTCAGAGATGTTAACGTGGACTGCGCAAGAGCTGAGGAAGCTGTTCAAGCATAAGAAGCAGCAAACACCAACCCAGCTGCAGTCACCCAGTGGGGAAACCGTGCTCACGAGCTCCTGCAATCACACCAGACTATTCAGAAGCTCCTTGTAAAAGTATTTACAGATGTGAATTTAAAAGCAGTGGCTTGTACCTGTTTGGGTTTTACCCCAGTAAATCTACAGATTAAATACGGTACGAGCAACAAAGCACCCAAGCAAGCAGAGATGACATGGCTTCTCTCCTGAAAGGGAGCAGTCGGCCAATGGAAGGCTCCTCGCGTGGAAAAGGATGGACAAGACAACCATCGCTCGTCCCCCTCAAGAGAAAACACCCGGCAGAGAACCCAAAGTTGCCCCACTTACGTAGTTCTTGACTTCCCTGCGGGCGTTGGCGTCGATCGCGAGCCATCTCTGCTGGTACTGGGCCTTGATGTCGGGGTCCTTGGACGTCAGCGAGTTCTTGATCTGCAAGCCGGCCGCCACGCGGGCAACTTGGCTGTTGCCGGGGTTTGCCAGCACTCGGGAGAGTTCCACCAGGAAGGTCGGCTGGGGAGAGAGGAGGGCTCAGCACCCGCCCCTGCTCACCAGTAAGGGGAAACCCACTCCCCCCTTAAAGCGAGCCCCGGCCCCGCTGAAGCTGCTTCTCCCCCAGGCCAGCAGCAAACCCCGGCACTGCGCAACGACGGCGGCGCCATCCGCAGATTACGGGCGTTAAATCCCTAATTAGAACCGTTGGAAAGCGACGTAAGTAGGCACTGACTTTGCTGGATTTTTTTTCAGCCTGCTTGAGAGACTGTTACCTTCCGTGCTCCTGCCTGCTTTAAGTATTCCTTTAAATAAACTACTCGGGTCCTATGCCAAGATATGTATTTTCTGGATGGATATCAAACATGGTGAAGAGTAACTCGCTGCTACTTATTCCCTTGCTTCAAGGCAAACACTCCAACTATAACCTAACAGAGGAATGGTTAAATTGCGAAATCAGATGCTCCTCTGGTGCGTTACAAACAGGTCTGTGAGATTACCAACCGCCTTCTCTGCAGCCAGAGGTGCACAGACACATATGAAGATTACCCCCCTCCCCAAAAAGTGCCGACCTGTGGGTAAAAATACCTGCCCTTCGTGCCACTCGCGTTTGGTGAGAGCCAGTGAGAAATGCCTCCGCGTTTAAATCCTTTCCTGATTTGCCAGCTTCACGTTTCAGAGACTTCCGCTGTGTACAAGACGCAGCTGAAGTTGCAGCAGCGAAGCTTTTTCCTTTCGCTGCCCCTACGAAGCGTTTTGCCTGCTGAGAAAACCTTTCTAGGAAGCGGTGGAAACAGCTGCGCCGTGCTCCAAACCGTCTCGCTCCGAGTCGGAGCACGGTTTTCCTGAGAGCGTGTAACACGCAGTTACACGTAACCCACCTCCAAAAATCTCTATCACGGGACTGAAGGTACACACCAAGATTTTAGGGCACCAGAAATGACTATTTTTGAAACTAATTTAACTGTCAAAAGTTCAACAGAAACACAGAATAAGTCCAGTATCTTGGACTTCCCGTTTTCAATGGCCAAACGCAGCTCTTCAAAAAAAGTCCTCGCTGGGCTATCCGGTGCTCCTCAGCATTCAGACTGCAGAATTTGGAAACCAAAACGTGGGACAGCTACAAGTGATGAGCGTAAGCCATTGGAGATACTCTGGAACATCAATACGATAGACAAACCCCCTACAAATACACCACACTAAACCACCTCCCAACCATGAAGATCGCTCACGTCTTACACACGGATTTTATTGAAAGCGAGGAACCACTCACAAGAAGTTGACGGCAAAATCAAAGTGGTGCCGCCACCTTTGAGAAGCAAGCTGCACTAAGATGCAAAGGTGAAGAAGCGTCCTTGGATTTCCCACTCATCAGTTCGCAAACCCAGTTTGTCTTTTCGTGGAGCTTTAAGAATAATTCTAGCTAAAAATGAGAAGCACTGCATTGAATCTTCCAGACTTGAGACTCAGAGCAAGTGCAGATGCATACGACCTCGGATCTCACACCTACAGAAGTGTCAATGAAAATCTCTGGAAAGGATCTAAATTAACTACGAGAGGAGGAGGGGATGGGGAAGAACAATCCGCTCTGCAGGTGCCTCTCCATTAACTAACTGGGAGAGCGCTTCCAGCTCCCCGGGCGCAGAACCTCTCGCTCAACCCCCTACCCCCAGCCCCTTCCCACCCTCCCACCCACCACGGGCTGCGACAGGAGCAGCCCCCAGCCCTGCATCCTCCCTCTCCAGCCTCATCCTCCTCCAAAGCTGAGCCCTCACCCGCCCTCGCAGCCCCTTTCCATGCCTGGACCGCTCCACATCCCCACCCCAGGGCACAAATCTTAGCCCCAGCACAAGCTCCGCTTGTCGCCTTGGCCCGGCTCTCGCGTTAGGTAGAAACAGATCCCCGAGGAACTGGCGCATCCCTCGGCCGGTTTCAAAGCCTGAAGCCCAGGATCGCGAGCAGCTGGGCACCTCGCCCCAGAACGCTTCGCGCGACGCAGCCAGGGCAGCTTCAGTCTAACCGAGGGCACCCGAACACTTCACAAACAGCAAACCGGAGAATTTTGAGTCAAAAACCGATGTTTAGCGCGGAGGCCACGCCAGTTCTGATTCTAAGGGAACGCCTTGAAACGGAGCAACGGGAGTAAAGACGCCGCGGCTTCCCCAGTTCAACCCAGTGGGTGGAAACGCCCTGCTGCCGAAGGATG